CCCCCCCCACCGCACCTTCCATCCTCTCATGTGGGCCTGAATCACCAAGGCTGCCGCCTTGGTCTCCAAGTAGCGCTTCTTTTGCTGTCGAAAACGGTGGGGCGGTGAGGGAGACCCCAGCTTCCGAACCCCCCTTCCACCTCCCACTGGCCCTGGATGGTGAGGGGGTGGAACTGTGGGGGCGACTGGTACCATTTTGCCGCGAAACCAGGCGGAGATGAGGATCTGGCTGGCGCGCATCCGCCGGTAGCGCCTGCGCCAGCGCCAGCCGCGGTACGTCTTCTGGATGAGCGTGGCCAGCTGCTGCATCCGCAGGCGCCGCTGCTCCTCCAGCCAGAAAAGCTGCGGGGCGCAGGAGGGGCGCTGGGAGGTGCTGCCGGCGGTCCCCGACGGCTGGCGGGCGCCTTGCCGGCCCCCGACGCTGGCTGCTCGCATTGGGAGCCTCAGGCTGAGGCTGCCTGGCCCGGACTTTGCGTCCTCTCCAGGAGGGCCGAGCAGGCTCCAACACACCTACGCCTGGGCGAGCCCGCGGCCATTTGGGGTGAAGCCCCGGTGCCGCCTGGCCACCCCCAGCCACCCCGCCACACACTCGGGCTCTCCCGCCTTGCACCCACCAAGCAGCTCCACTCGGACTTACAGTCTTGGGGCTCTTTATGAAGATCTTGGTCTTCCCGAAGGCCAGCTCCTCTGAGGATATGCTCAGATCCCCAAAGAGCTTCTCGACCCCCTCCCTACGGAAGAAGGTGGAGCAAACGGCCCAGGGGCTCAGGGGTGCGGGAGAAGCTCAGGACCCCGCCGACTGAGGGCCTCGGAGGTGGCCGGCGGTCCCGTGCCCAGCGCCCTCCGCTGAGCTCCGGCCTGCCCGCGGCACCCTGCAGACCCCCGCACTGCTCCGGGGACCCCGCTGCGCCTTACCGGTCTCCCCCACGCCAGCAAGGCCAGGTGCTCCGGCTCAGCAGCCGGTACCTTTCCAGGAAGGGCCCGTACCCCTGGCGGAAGGCGTAGCCCGCCCGCCGGACGCGGACGTTCTCCAGCAGCCCCAGGTACCGAGCCTGGTTGGCCACCAGCTCCGCGGAGAACTGCTGGCGCTGCTGGTGCTCGTTGGGCTTGATGCACCTGGGGGGCGCCAGGCGTCAGGCTCCCCTTTGCCTGCCCGCCGGCGCCCCGCAAGCCTCCTGCCCCAAGAAGAGGGAGCTGACCCGGCTTCCCGGCTTCCCGGCCCCTGAGGGCAGCGTGGGCCTCGCAGGGCAGGTGCTCTCCCCGCCTCACCTGGCTGCTTTCTCTGAGGAACAAGCCCCTGGCTCACCCAGAGGGGGTGGGGGGGGCGTGGGGCAGCGCACAGACCCGAGGGCCACCCGCCGCAGCGCAGTCCCGCTCCCCGCACATCACCTGATGTAGTTGGGGTTCTTGGAATACAGGTTCTTCATGAGGACGGCCACAGAGCTCTTGAACTGGGCCCCCGCCGTTGGGGGGCGTTTGAGAGAGGCGTTCTTGGGGTCGCCTTCGGGGAACAAGGAGCGCAGGAGGGGATTCTGGGCCTCCCACATGGCCTGGGACAGGTCCCGGAAGAGGAGGTCGTTGTTCTTGTCAATGAAGCTGTCCACGTTGTAGGTCACCTGAGCGGGAGGGACGGAGGGTTCCGCAGCGCCCAGGCTCTGCCCGCCCCGCCTCCTTGAGAGCGTGCCCAGCCCTGCTCTGCCCCTCCCTCCTGCGGCCCCGTCCCGCGCCCCGTCACCTTGCCCGCGTAGTGGCAGATGCGGAAGCACTGGGCACCCATGGAGCGGTCGAACTGGCGCTGGGCGTTCTGGGTGACTTTGCTCTCGTAGTGACCGTGCTTGCCGAAGATCTGGTTCAGCTTTGTCAAGAAGGTGGCATCGCTGACCCGTCCAGGCCGCAGGCACTCCTCGTCCAGCATGGCCAGGATGCCTTTCTGGTTCTGTCCAGGGCATGATGTACACCCAAGCTGGATGTGGCCCCTTCGAGAGGTGCACACCCTCACCGCCACCCCTCAGCATTCTCGTCAGCATCCTACCAAGTGGGGCGCCAAGGGGGGTTCCAGAGAGAGAGAGAGAGAGAACTCACGTGCTCGATCAGGGTGCAGATGATGCTGTTGTCGAAGTAGTCCACCTTCGTCCACTTTATGCCCTGGCAAGGGGGCACAACACGTTCCTGGGCGCTCACAGCCCAGCCCCCGTCACCCACCCCACGAAGAACCGCCGGAAAGCCCTGCAGGTTAGAAGGGCCTGGGCGCGGCTTCCGTTCATGTCTCCACCCCCCCAAGGTGGTGAAGAATCTGTGGGGGCAGGAGGTGGGGACAGGCCCTCAAGTGGCCACGCCGCTGTGGCCTGGAGCTGCAGGCCCCGGGCCTCGTTCACTGCCAGACGGCAAAGCCAGCCTGATACGTCTTCAAAGCCTCCAGGTGAGTCCTGGATTTATTTTATTTAAATGAAATCAGATTTATTTTATTTTTTTAGGCCAGAGGTGCAGGGGTGAGCGGATTCCCCAGAGACAGAGTGGGGAGCAGAACAGGGGGATCCACTGAAACACACTGCCGAGGGGGCAGCGGGGAGACAGGAGGGGTCTGCTGGGCCCTGGGGTCCCTCCGTGGCCGGGGATCGAACTAGTACAGCAGCGTCTGCGGGCAGCTCCATAGTGCTGACACTTCACCCCTTTGTGCCACCTCAGTTTTTTGTTTTTAAAGCAAAAACAGCACATTGGGAACGTGCAGGGCGTGCAGGGAAGGGCGCCCCAGACGCCACGCCAGGGCCCCAGCTCCCGCTCAGGCCCTGCCCAGGGGTGGCCGAGGCACACAGCGAGCCTTTCCTTCCCGCCTCCCTCATGTCTCCAGGAAGTACGGGGTTCAGGGCCCCAATCCCTCCCCAGGGGGTCACACCAGTGGTATGCACAGTCTATGCAGCCCCGACAGACAACTCTGTCCTGGCACAGAAAGCTCTGGAACCCATGAAAGCAAGCGTGGGGCACAGTCATCACTGCTGCACATCAAGCCTCTGGAGGAGCCCTGCTGAGCCCGCCCCCCCCGCCCGGGGGAACTAGGGGGCTGGTGCTGCGGGGGGGGGCGGCCCCTCCTTCAAACATCTTTCTAAGCTTCGGAAGCACTGGGACGGGTTAGCGACTTGATCGTTTTCAAAATTTTATATAAAAACATGCAAAACTATGAAAAAACCCTCTGCCAGAGTTTGCCCGCCCGCCGGAAACCCTGGCACGGCACCGTGGCTCTGGGGGGCTGGGAGCAGGCGGGCGGGGGGCCCCACTGTGGGGCGCATCTGCTCGGGCAGGCGCCGCTCTCACTGCCAGCGGCAGAAAGCCCGTTTCCAGGGCGTAAGGAGGGGTGTGGAAATTTCGAGCCACGGGCACTTCCGCTGAGAGGGTGTGGGTGGCGCGAGAGGGGAGGTGACACAGCTGGGGGGGATCCCGAGGACACAGAGGGCCCGTGCTGGGGCGCCAAGCCCCGAGAGACCCCTCACAGCGGCTCAGAGCTGTCAGCTCTCTGCCCGCTCGCTCGGTCCCCGCCGGCAGCCGGCCCCTGTGCCTGGCCTGGAGTGGCAGGGTGGGGAGGGGGTGAAGAGCAGGAAGTTGGGGCTTCCGGGGCATGCCGGCGCTCAGCTGCACCCGGGCAGCTTTGTGCCCGTCCCACCTGGGGACACCTGAGCGCCTACCTCCCGCTCGTATTCCTCCTGCTCCTCTCTCAGCGTCATCTCGATGAACACCTGCTGCAGCTTCTCGTTGCAGTAGTTGATGACAAACTGCTCGAAGCTGTTTTCCTGTGGGGTACGTGGGCCACAGGCACTCTCAGCGCCCAGGGCCGCCTCCGCTCGCCCCTGGCACACGCTGCCTGTCCAGCGCCCCGTGCGGAGGGTGGGTGAGGCGCTCACCTCCAGTATTTCAAAGCCGTAGATGTCCAGGACCCCCATCACCTTCTTCTTCTCCGCCGTGCCCACCTGCAGAGGAGGAACAGATTCCCTGAGGGCAGCTCTCTGCACCCGGCCAGCCCTGCCGGCTGGACAGGTCGGGAAAGGGGAAGCCGACAGGAGAGTCGGCGAGCTGAGGGAGTTGCTGTGCTTTCCCCTCCTCTGCGGGGCAGGCCGGGCCGGAGGGAGGGCCGGGGCTCCCAGGTTCCAGGGCGGCACGCCCCCCCGAGGCCCAGGCACACCAGCCTCAGGAGAAAACGCCCGCGTCCACCCAACAGTTTATTCTAAATGCTTAGATCTCACGAGTCACCCTGCGGCCCTGGGAGTGCGATCATCCCCTTTACAGGCGAAAAGGCCTAATCGATTTCATCACAGTGCCGTCCCGTGACTCGCTCCAAACCGGTGGCATGTCTGTGCCCATGATTTTAAATAACAGCTCTGGGTGGCTCAAGGTCACAGCACAGCTCTGAAGCTGGCCACAGCCCCTGCAGCGCCAGGGCGATCCCCGCCCGGGAGGTGACCCCAGGGCGCGGCAGCCCCCTCCTGTCTCCCCGCTGCCCCCTCAGCAGTGGGTTTCAGTCCTCCCGCCTGCTCTGCTCCCCGCTCGGTGTCTGGGGAGTCCTCTCCCCCTGAACCCTAGTTCTTTATGCATAAATAAGTCGGATTTTTAAAAATAAGCAAAATAATAGCTCTATTTTGATCTAACTCACTACCATTGCATTTACCCTTGCAGGCTGCTCAGCTGTTCTTTCCCTTACTCCCATCCACGGTGGTGTCCAGCCATCACCACCACCTACTCCTGAGCCTTTTATCATCCCTAGAAGAAACCTGGTGCACGCCGCTAGTGGTGCCCACGCCAGCCGCTGCCCACCTCTCGGACGAGACGTGAAACGTCATGACTCTGCACTGGCCAGACTCCCAGAAGAGGCGGCCTGTGTGTGGTCTCCCACGCAGCGTGTTTTGTGGGTTCGTCCGTGCCGAGTGGGCCCCAGGGCCTTGCACCCTGTGCGGCCGGGTGGCGGCTCCGGGCAGAGTGCCTGTGTGGCGTCAACCCCAGGCTGGCGGCCACGTCTCACCTTGATGCTCTCGTTGATCCGGTTCACGATCCAGTCGAACAGGCGGCTGTAGATGTTCTTGGCCAGGGCGTCCCGGGCGTAGTGAGCCTGGGGGGGGGCGCGGAGCTGGTGGGTGCGGCGGCCCCAGAGTGGGCACGCGGCCCCTCGCCCCCCACCCCCGGCCGCACCTGGGTGATAGTCAGCGTGGTGACCACCTCTTCTTTGCCGGTTTTCATGGTCTTTGAGCACAAAGCTCGCTCTAGGGTCGCTGTTTTCAAGCCCACCAGCTCCCCGATCTCCTGAATACCTGGAGTGATGAGGGTACAGGGTGGCCTGGGCGTCGTCTCCCAGGGCGGGGAGGGTGGGGGCCGGTGCGTGAACCGGGAGACCGTCCCCTGGGCCTTGCTGGGGAAGCCCCTGCAGCCCACCCAGGCGCTAGCGGAAGCGGGGGGGTGGGGGGCGGCTCGGGAGCTTCAGTCTAATCTGACGTAGGCGAGCGCTCATGGCCTAGCGTCCGCGGAGACCCGGAGGCCGGATCGCAGGCGTGTCGTATTTACGACGCCGGCCTCACGCCTCGCCGGGGCGCTCTCAGCGGTCGGGGACAGCTCAGGAGGCTGAATCTGAGCCCAGTCTGCGCCGCCAGAGGTGGGAGAGGAACAGCACCCAGCAGGGCGGCCCGGACCTTTCCTGTCACGGATGCCGCTCGCCGCCAGCCCGCTGGCCTGGAACTCGTCCACCAGCTGCACGTTCCCGAGCTTCAGCACCAAGGCCGTCACCTCCAGCACCCGCCGAACCTCGGCCTCTGAGAACCCGATCACAGCCATGGCGGTCTTCCGGGGAAAGCAGAGAGCAACCTCAGCGTCCACTGGGCCGGCTGCTCCGGCGCCCTGGGCCTCAGCCTGCGCCCGCACCCACCTGCACAGCCTGGAAGTTGGCCGCATCGTCCGTGCCGTTCACCCCGACCACTTCGGGGTTCAGATACGTGTAGCCCCTGGGATCCTGGTCCAGCTTCAAGGCCTCTGGGGGCCGAGGGGAGGAGAGGTTGGCGCCGGCTCTCCGGGGCCCGCAGTCCCGCCCTGCCAGCCCTAGCTCAGTCGCTTCACTCGCTTACTCAGAGCCGCGTTTCTAGATTCTCCCCCTGACTCCTTTTGGGGGGACCCTCAAATCCTGCGGTGCAGGCTGCATTATTAAGTGGTATTTAGGGCGTGGGTGCTCATAACTACTGGTTTGCTCTTCCCCAGCTTTCTGAAAGAAGATCCTTATTTTTCTCCCCACTCCATCCTGAGGGTTGTAAACACTGAAAACAGCAACTAGATGCGCCCTCGGGCCCTCGGGTGAGGCTCTGGGGCTCCGGAGGACAAATAGGACAGAAGGAGAATCAGGGAGTCTCCCCGCCCCCCAGCCGGACAGCTCATTCATCGTGGGCCCCTGGGGACCCACAAGGACAAGTGCTGTGTTACTCAGTCCTGGGCACTTTCGGGGAGTTTTCTCTGAGGTGGGGCTTTGGGGTTCACACTGGTGAATCTCGAGCCCAGATCCTAAGGACCAGGTTTTAGAGTTTTCTCTTCCACAAGAGAAGACCTGGTTGGGGGGACTATTTTCTAATCCACCTGGCTGACCTATTTTTTCTTTTTAAAGCGAATGGAGGGGACTCTCGAGCGACCGGCCGAGGCCAGTGGCTTCATCACAGCTCCAGGGAGGCCGGGGGTGTGTTGTTATTCCAAGGACCTGAGAGTCCTAGTGTTTGCTGGCAGCTTCGCTTGAGACAGAAATTTTGAAGCAGGAAACTGCTACTGCAGGGTGTGGACAAGAACAGCCAGAGCCCCGGGCCGATGAGGGGGCACCCTCACATTCAGCCTGCAGCAAGGTCCGGCAGAAAGGGCCAGAACAAGACACTGGTTCCTGTGACTCAGACAAACTGAACCCACCAGGACTAGCAGGCCGAGGGAGGCGGGGTCCCGAGCCGCCGAGCTCCCCGGGGCAAAGGAGATGAGCGAGTCGGGCAGAGCGTGACCGGCACCTCGCACACTCGGTGCCGGGACAAGAGGGGGCCTTGGGAGGCCGCCAGCCAGGGCCGTGGGGGTCAGCCCGGCTCCCCCGGAGGAAGCCGGTGTCCAGGCACTGCCTGGCCTGCGGTCCTCGTCACATGTGTGGCGAGGGCCCTGCCACACGCTGTCGCCCCCCGAGGCCGGGCTGTTCCTGGGACAGGTCCGCGCACAGGGCCCGGGCGAGGTGGACACAGACTCGGCGAGACCTCACTGGCAGCGCCTGACCTACAGGTAAAACCCCTCAGACCGAAGGTGAGGAGGGAGGCAGGTGGACAGGGCTGTGCCCTTTCCCAGCCAACTCGGGGACAGAGGAACCTAGTCTGGACGGAGACTGAGGCTCGGCTGTTCCCGGCAGAAGGACGAGGGCCAAAGGGCCAGGGCGGGGTCTGTTCCCAGCGCAGGGTGGAGAGAAGCTGGGACTTAATGTCAGGCTGTGGGCACCCAGAGGGGGCAGGGGCCCTGGGGTGGGGGGCTGGGGAGTCCCAGGGGCTCTGGGGTGGGGGCTGGGGAGTCCCAGGGGCTCTG